GAACCTGAGCAGTTCAGTGAAAATAGAACAGAAAGTACAGGTAGACAGAGAAGTTAGAAGGAACAGTTGAAATGGTGGTGAATAGGTGGTGTCCCCAGCTGCTTCTGTTTCTACCCTTCCTGAGCCATCTTCCATCTTTTGGGGGGAGCCTTAGAGAAATAATGAATGCTTTAAAGAAACATAAATTATATCTTTTTAATTCTTTAGACTATAAGAGTTGTGTATTAAAATATAGAAATGACACAATGAATTTTTAATTCATTTTCAAATTTGGAAGTTTTCTTAAAGAACAGATTAATTTACAGTTTTTCAAAAACTGTTACTGTGGAGAATAGTTGCAGGGGTTAATTCTTGGCAACTAGTTAACACATGTTAGAACTAAAGGGAGATTTAAAAAGAAATTATAGGAATAATACAGAGAGAATTCTCTAAATCACTCTAGGTATATTAGCTGGGTTGAAATGCTGGTGAGAATTATTTTTTCTCATCAATCATTGATCTGGGAAGACTAACAACTACCTTTCAAACTATAATATGCTTGGCTGTGCATTACTTTTTCCAGGTGATTTTTTTTCAAATAAAACTCAATGTTTCTGAACACACATACTCAAAAGCAAAAATCACCGAATTACAAAATAAATGTACTTTTTCGAGTTGCAATCCCTAGCTATTCAACCAGAATAAATTCTGTCAAATAAAAATGGAACCACCTTCTAGATTTGAAATGTATTTTTTTTATTGCACATATTGCTCCTTGCTTATTGCCCTTGCTTTCTCATTTTTTTATCATTCATGGAGAAAGGGCACTAGCACTTGCAAAAATCTTTAAAATGTTTTTCTTATTGTATAAAGAATTTATTGGTTCTGTATCCTCTAACCATTACTTCTGAAGTCCCTTTTGATTTGTACACTTCTATAACCATTCAGAGGAATTATTATCTTACTTATAAAAAGTACTTTGCCTTATGATGTTAGTAGAGTTTATCATTCTGTACTTAAGGAGGCAGTCATTTTTTCTCAACTAACAAAAGCTGCAATAAAAACTCATGTGACAATTTGTCACCCCACTTGTAATATAGTGCTGATGTCATTTAGTCCCCTTGGGCTGTGTGTCTCGCCTGTAGGTAAGGTAACTAGTACAAAATAAACCAAATGGAAGTTAATGCTTTTATCGTATCTCTTTCTCTGACTTTAGGCACTAACTCTCCAAGTGATTATTATAGCACTATTGAGAAAGTAATTAGTTGTGTACTCCACCACTTGAGGTTAAACAAATGTAACTGATGAAGTTTTATGCAAAGGAATAATAAAAATGGTACCTTTAAAGAAGGTGTAAGTATTATTAAATGTTTTATATCACACATGAACAACTTGCTATAAATAACATATAAAGGCCATTTTTTATGGTTTTAAGTGCAATACAGTTCAAATCTATAGGTTTCTTCAGTTATCCATGGTTTAATCTGATTTTCCCCATCAGACTGGGAAAAATTTCATTTGCCATAGCAACTTAATGTTGCACCTGTGATCCTGACTTTATTCAGATAGTGTACTTATGATAGACTTATAACCTATGAATCCCATGAAGCTCATTGAAAAAGCAGCTCAAAGTGGACAGGCCAGGTGAGTAACGTGGCTAAATAATTCTAATCTTCTGATAAGGTGTCATTGAAAAATTGTCACACAGTGGCAAGGAGCATTGTCTGACTATCATGGGCTAGACTTCATTATTAATGATTAGGAATAAAGGCATTGTGAAAAATGTCAAAGGAATGCGCAACATTGATTGCTGCTGCTTCTTTAAGAAAAAGCAAGAAGAACTCATAATGCTTGACTGTTGGAGAAGGTAACAAATTTTGCGAATATTCTCTAATGGAAATTAGCAAAAACAAACAAAATTCAAAGAAACAGAAACAGCTTCTACTAGAATTCAAAACTTGATGAAAATTGTGTTTGTGAAATGTTATAGTTTGACTCTATTGGTACAGTAGCTTCCCCTAATCCATGGCAGATATGTGCTGAGACCCCCAGTGGATGCCTGAAATCGTGGATAGTACGTAATGCTGTACACACTATGTTCTTTCTTATGCACACACACCTTTTCACCTAAAAGAAGCGCTTTATGGCTTCTCTTTGGCATATCTGAATTGCCAGCATCACTAGTCTTGCACTTTGTGGCCATTAAGTAAGATAAGGGTGACTTGAACACAAGCACTGCTACGGCAGTCGATCTGATAACTGAGGCTGCTACTGTAGCATGAACAGGTAGGTATGCTGGACTCACGTCCTGGCTGGCATAGAACAGGACGGCACCAGATTTTATCACAAGACTCAGAATGGGCATGCAATTTACAACTTATGATTTTTTTTTTGGAATTTTCTCTAATTTTTCATATAGTATTTTTGGACTATGGTTGACTGCAGGTAACTGAACCTGGGGAAGGTGAAACCGTGGATCGGGGAGGGGGGGCTACTATATATAAAAAGTCATCATGCTTTAAAAATTGCAGAATGCCTTTGTATAAAAAATGTTTCATTATGTGAAAGAGTAGTTCAGGCAAGAGTCTAAAAAGCAATACAACTTTTATTACTGGATATGACTCTGTCTATGCACTGAATTGTGTTCCCTCAAAATTTGTCTAGACCCCAGTCCTAAATCCTAGTACCTCAGCATGTGACTTTATTTGGAGAAAGCACTTTTAAAAAGGGTATTAAGTTAGCATGAAGGTGTAAGGGTGGGCCCTAGTCCTGTATGACTTGTGTCCTTATACCAAAAAGATTGGGATACACAAAGGGACCCCACAGATGTGTGTACACAGAGAAAAGGCTGTATGGGAACATAGCAAGAAGGTCGTCATCTGCCCGACAAGGAGAGAAGCACTCAGAAGAAACCAAACCTGCCAGCACCTTCTTGGACTTCCAGCTTCCATACTGTGAGAAATAAATGTTTGTTGTTTAAGCCACCCAGTCTGTGATATTTTGTTAGGACAGCCTTAGCAAACTAACACACCCTATCTTATGTAAAATACTGAAAAAGTCTGGTTCTAAAATGGCTATTGTAAATGTGGAAGAAACCACCACTCACTTGTATCAGCTATTTACTTAAATAGTCACAGAATTATAAAAGTCAGACTTAAGGACCCTTTGGAAATCTGAGAACAAGTGAAATCAATTATGGTATCTCAGCCATCATTTAAATGGAAGTTTATATCTCTTTAAGAAATATTCTGAGGTTAAAATATGTACTTCATAATGCTTCATGTTAATCACCATTGTTTTATAAATCTAAGAAGAGTAACAAGTTTATTTGAAAAGAAAAATTTTATATATCACACTGGAAAGGCTTACACTATTGTAGAATATTAAATGATACCTTCTTTCAGAGTCCAAATTGGTAATCAACCCCTTTGTTACTCTCTGTTTGACACTGTTTTATTTTAAATGCACTAGTATCTTCATTTTTTTCATATGTTAATTCTAGACAGGAGTCGTCCATACAATTAATTTATCAGTTATTTTTGACACTACAGATATTTTCATGACCACAGACCACCACTTTGATGGAAATGTCTTTTACTTTCCATTGCAACAGTGATATTTGGTGTAGCTTTGCTAACCCACGTCATGCCTGCTTCAGCAGTCACAGCAGCGTTTCACATGGTTTAAGCAGGAGACTAAGCAAACTACCGTAGCTCCGCCAACCCATTTTTTGATGTGTGACTGTCAATCTTAAATGTCAAACTGTCTCTATTTATAAAACATGATTATGGGTATCTTCTATCTATTATAATACATTTCTCAAGGACTATAATATATACAAAAATGTACTGTTCCTATATGAGTAAAATGATGATCTTTGAAAAGAATGTGATATTCAGAAAGAATTTACTCTGATAATAAATATGAATTTTCAATTAATATGTTCTCTATGATAGTCAGTTTTTAACTGGGACTGATTAGTGTGTGAAATATTTTGCTTCATCATTTCTCCTCCATGCATTTATCTGATCAGATACAACATTAAGAAATGGTGGGCAAAAGCTATTAAAAGAAAGATGCTTGATCAGCACGTTTTCAAAGTTGAGAGTAGTTGTGTGGTAAAGGATGAGTGAGTGGCAGTTTTAACTACTGACTAACATTAAATTTATAGGTTATTTATGAAATAAATGGTCTCTATTATGCAATAGGAATTTATAAACTTTACAAATAAATTCAAATAACATATAAAGCAAATTATTATAGTGCTTTTTGTTATCATTTTATAAAAGGAAACAAAATAACTGAAACCTGGAATAATAAAGTAACAATGATAATTAATTAGGGTTAAACCAGATTCATGTATAAGTGATCAAAAGGTCCAGGGTTTTGTGTCACTTATAGTTCCATCTTCTCTGTCCCTGGAAAAGTATAAAGTAATTGTAGATCATGTCAACCACTATGGAAATTCTTTACTACTTTGAAAACAGCCAAAATTGTTCTTAGAAACTCATCAAAAAGAACACAATGTTTTATTCTTTTCATGTCAGTTGTAAATAGATTATATACAAAACAATGTGTATTTCACTGATGGGTTAAGATGGGTAACGGAACTCACATGAAATGCTTTAGTTATTTTACAGTAAACCCTTCAAAGAGAACAAAAATGAAGGTGTTGCTATAACCTTCCCACCTCAAATTTGATTGTCAAGCTTTCAAATATACAGGGGGATAATGTGTCCATTTCTTTCTTCTCAACCTTCCTATTTATAGAGTTCAATAATGAAATTGTCATGACTGATATAGGAAGAAAATGTCAAAAGGTTATAGAACACTGCAGAGAAAATGTTTTTAATGAGTCTTCTAGAACCCTGAAATAAGAATGATCAGAAATCAGGGTATTATAAAAAACCAGTGTTCAAGACATGTTTTCAAGTATTATTTCTACCTATGCATACTACTTAATTAGTAGTAGGCTAGTTAGAAAGTAAACTGTGAGAAAAACAACATATTTTCTAACTTACCTCCTAGCTGTGCTGCAGGCAGCTGGGAATGTTTTCCAGAAATAGAAGATGGCTGTAACAAACAACACAATGTATGCCGTGAGAGCCATGCTGGTGTCTGTCACATCTGTCATCACTGCACATACTGACGCAGTTATCAGGCCCTGGGAGTCGGAAGGCGGTGTGTCACAACCTGAGATTCTGAATGCTATAATAAACAGATGCTTCAGTCACACAAATTTACTGCTGCTTTTACCCATTGCTCTTTTTTTTTTTTCTAAAGTTACTTCTTGGTTTCTTATAAATCAGAAACACAAAGTCTTGGCTAATTATACTTAATAGTTTGATGATGATGTTTAGTTTTTTTTTTGTTTTTTTTTTAAAGCTGAGCCATCCTGCTACCTGCTGGCAGCTCAGCGGCTGCTCAGCTTGGGCCGGGATCAAACCGCTGTTGCTCAGAGCTCAAACCCTTGAGTGAGCTCTTAACCAGCTGAGCCACTCGGCTGGCCCTGATGATGTTTAGTTTTGAAGACTCCAAAACTCAAGTGGTAAAACTGGCTGCAGGTTTTCTCTATCTATCTATTTATCTATCTATCTATTTATTTATAAAATTGTCTCTTCTTATCAAGTTAGTCAGGAAAGTAAACCACTTGTTCATATTACTCAAGCCTGAGACTTTATGCCATCATAGGGATTAATTGTATGAACTTACCTCAAAACAAGTGTCAAAAGGGTGCTGATAAAGGTCAGAGAGCCTTGTTCCAGTTCAGCTCTTAGGAAACATATGACCTGAGAGAATCATTCTATCTCACCTCAGGAAGTTGTGAGACTAAGTAAAATAAAGTATTGCAAGTCTTTTGTGAAGTAGAAAATGATATTTATTTATTTATTTATTTATTTATTTATTTATTCAAAAGTAGAGAATAGCTGTATAGAGATCTGACAATTAAGTTTGAAAACTTGTTGCAAAGATGTTGCTAACCGTTTTTTATATCAGAGGGATTATTCATCATGAATTTGTACCAACTGGATAAACAGTTAATCAACTTGACTATTTGGAAGTGCTGAAAAGGCTGCATGAAAAAGTCAGATGACCTGAACTTTTCACCAACAATTCATGGCTCTTGCACAACAATGTACCAGCTCACACAGCACTGTCTGTGAGGGAGTTTTTAGCCAGTAAACAAATAAGTGTACTGGAACGCCCTCCCTGTTCACCTGATCTGGCCCCACTGACTTCTTCCTTTACCTGAAGATAAAGGAAATATTGAAAATAAGACATTTTGATGACATTCAGGACTTTAAGGGTAACACAATGACAGTTTTGATGACCATTCCAGAAAAAGAGTTCCAAAATTGCTTTGAAGGGTGGACTAGGCTCTGGCGTCATTGCATAGTTTCCCAAGGAGAGTACTTCAAAGATGACTGTAGTGATATTCATCAATGAGGTATGTAGCACTTTTTCTAGGATGGGTTTGTGAACTTAATTGGCAGGCCTCGTATTAATAAGCCAACAAAATATTCCTGATAAAAACTATTGTACTAGAATCAGAGCACTGGGGTTCTCAATACTCTATGTTCAGGAAGTTCTTCTAGTTGTGTGGGATTTACATTAATTTGTTTTTGGCAGTATCAGGCTACTTTGTCGAAGATCTGCTAGTGACCTATTTTTTATTTCTGAAAGTTGTTCCTGTATGACCTTGGGTTAGTCACTAAACCTCTTTGGAACATAGTTTACTTTGTAAGAACATAAAAAGATTGGAGTAGATGATTACTAACGTCCATCCCAGTCTTACAGTGTTCTACCACATTCATATACATTCTTCGTGTGGAAGTCTGGGACAGTGGACATGGAAAGGTCTTTCAGGCTAAGCATCCCCTGTTTGCATAAGATGGGTGGAACTGAAACTGTCTCCATCAGTGACTTCCTTGTGTAGTTTATCTTCACATTATGGAGTCTGTTACAAAGAATTCTTTATTTTGGTCATCAGGATTCTTGCTTGCTTTTGCCTGAGGCTTGTGGAGTTATAAGTAAATATTTTATCAGTCAAACTAACACCTAAGCTAACCTTTTCTTTTGCTTTCCCCCCCAGTTTTTATGAAAGACCTGTCACAGAAACACCTACATACTAACGTTGTCACAGAAACAGACCATCAGCAATTCAAAATTTAGAACCACAGAAATATTTCCTAAAGGTAAAAATTAGAGTTTCCAAGAAATAGCCAATCTGCATTTGAAAGGACTCTGATTCCTGAACTCTCACGAACCTGTTTCCTATTAATACTACTGCTTATGTTTTCATAATGTCTTATAATTTTGACAGATTAAGCCAATTCTTGTTAAATAATATAAAAGCAGTAACAGTAAAAACACTTTAAATATAGGTTAAAATGTACTTAGAAAATCATGATTTATTTCTGAAAGGCCACAGAGGATTAATTGTCAATATTTTGAATTTTACTTTCTGGCTCCTTTGTGAATTGGTACCGTGTTAAATCAATTATCCCGCTTCTATTTTTAACTAGCTTGTATTAGGGTTCTCCAGTGAAATAGAAGTAATAGAACGTGTACATGTATGTACATACATATATAGAGAGGTTTTTGTTTATTTGTTCATTTGTTTGTTTGTTTTTAAGGAACAGACTTATGCAATTGTGGAGTCTGACAAGTCCAAAATTTGTGTGGTAGACCAGCAGGCTGGAGAATGGAAGAGCTGCAGTGTGAGTTGTAAAGGCAGTTTGCTGGCAGAATTCCCTCTTCTTCTAGGGAGGTTAGTTTTTTCTATTAAGGCCTTCAACTGATTGGATGAGACCCCCATACATTACAGAAGGCAATCCAATTTAAATGTTAATCTCATTTTAAAAAGAAAGAAAGAAAAAAAGAAAGAAAGAAAAAGAAAACCTTCACAAACATCAGAATATGTTTGACCAAATATCTAGGTACCATGGCCTAGCCAAGTTGACCCATAAAATTAACCCTCATGTAGCTCTGTATTGTTTTCTACAGGATGCTATTTTTAGTCTCTCTTGGTTATCCCTGAAGCTAATCTACCACATAAAGAATAAGGACTTTTAAATATAGATCTTCAGTTCTCGTCTCTTAACCATAGTTTCACCTGTCTCCTAAATAACTTCCACCCTCACCCCAGGTGACTTTCAGGCCCTTTTGATCCAGCATGTTTAAAACAAAAACTCATTATCTTTTCTCCCTTATCTACTGCTTCCTTTTATTAAGGACAATGTTATTCAAAGTGGAAATTTTGGAGTCACCTTTGAATTATTCCCCTTCATCCTCTCCTCTAATGAAATTCCGACTCACTTACTTACTCAACAGTATTTATTAAATACGTCCAAGGTGTCAGATAATGTCACAGGCAATGTAAACAGAACAGTGATGAGGCAGACAATAAACAAATGATACCTCAAATAATTATAATTGTGATAAATGCTATGGAGAAAAAGCACAGGGTGCTAAAAGATTGTATGACTGAGGGACCTTGTGTAGTGTGAGAGGGTCAGGGAAGGCTGACATGAGAAAGATGGATAAGAGTTACCCATGTGAAATTGGGAAGTAAGGAGAGGAAAGTATTCCAGGCAGAGGAAGCAGCATCTGATTGGACAGAAAGAGAAGGGATGTGATGTGGGTACTAGCCTTGAGCCAGGGGCTTCCATTCTCACAGTGACCCGATGATACAGGTAACATGCTGTAGAGACCAATTTTCGAACATTGTAGGGGCTTAACAAATATTTGTTGCATAAACCAATAAATCCGTATTTTAACTGAGGAAACTGCAACTCAGAAAGATTAAATAAGAAGTTTAGGTTTACATAAGAGAAAGTGACAGTGACGATTCCACTTTCTGTGGGAGACTCAGAGAAAAGAGCCACTGCCTCTAATCACCCCGTTATTGTTCCATTAGCAAAACCAAGAAACACCATCGAACTTCTAAACCATTGATAAATCCTGGTAAAGCAGTGTACAATATTCTGATTTTGCTAGACAAAATGTGTTTTTTTTTCCAGTGTTTCGTTTGCATGATCTTGATCACTTTGGAATATATTCACATTAAATAACCCTAGATTTTATTAAATGATTCAGTTTCTCTTCTGCTCTTAATCAATCTCAGCATTTAGTTTATTGCTTTCTTTTCTAAAACTGATAATGACGTTTTTAACCAACCAAAATATTTGCTTTAATATCATACAAATGAAGTAATTATGAAATTCAGATTGGCTGGATTTCAGAATAACTTACTACATTTTTTTCTTGCAGGAAGAAGCAACACTTCTAATATAGAATATAGCCTCTTATAAAAACAGAATAAAATTTAAGTGAACTCCATGAACATTTCTTTTAATTTGCAATTGTAAGCTTCACCAAAGGGGGAATTAAGATCTTAAAAAAAGAATCATTTTGAAATTAAGAAATTTGTCACAGATTTATAGTTTATTTATTTATTTATTTATTTAAAGATTTTTATTGGGGAATTGGGGGGATGGGAACAGTGCTGGGGAATTGGGGGAAGGGGAACAGACAAGTGGCTGTCGTTTTGTTCTTCAGTCTAGTTGTGGAGGACGTTGCTTCACTGGTCCAAGTTGGCACCATCATTGCGCTCTTCCCGGGCGAGGCAGATCAGTCGCTGGCTTCTGGACAGCTGCTACAGTGGCTGCTTAATTTATTTAGGCCTTCTTTATATCTCTCAATAATGTTTTATATATTTCTTATACCACTCTCACCTTTTGTGCTGTTGTCATAATACATTGTTTTTAGCCTCTCACTAATCATTTTTATATTTTTACATAATTATTTAGATCTACTAATTTACTTACTAATTTATTTACTCACCACTGATTTTTGTATTCTCTTTCCATCTGAGATTAATTTCCTTCTTATTGAGTATGTCTTTTAATATTTACGTCAGAATGTGTTCATGATGTTTAAACTTTCTTGGCCCATGTTGCCAGACAGTGTTTATTTTGACTGTTTTATGAATTTCATTTTTACCTGGGTTTATAACTCTAGGTTTGACAGTAATTTTTCTTCTGTACTTTGAAGACAAATTTCCACTGTCTTCTGATTTTTTTTTTTAATTGGGGAATTTGGGGATGGGAACAGCGCTGGGGAATTGGGGGAAGGGGAACAGACAAGTTGCTGCTGTCCTTTTGTTCTTCAGTCTAGTTGTGGAGG